ACCCTCGGGAAGGCCGGAAGACGGCCCCGCTTATTGAACTTGAGTCACTCCAGCTCCCTCGTCCCTCTATCTCGGCTACCATACCTCTACACCATCCTACCTTCAGTGGCATCATCGTCTCAGTCATGCGTCCTCCAATAAACTCAGGTCTTTGATTACTCATGGTCGTTTGGGTTCTGTCAAGTTTGAGTCCTTTAATTGGGGGGATTGTTCGTTGGGAAAACAACCTGCCTTGTCATTTTCTCATAGTACTTCCGTTGCGGATACACCGTTTTCATTAGTTCACTCGGATATTTGGGGACCTTCGCCCGTTGTGTCTATGAATCGTTATTTTGTGATTTTTATTGATAACTATTCTCGTTTTACATGGATTTACTTTCTGCGGCAGCGTTCTGAACTTCCATCTATTTATATAGACTTAGCTAAAATGATACATACCCAATTTTCCTCCACCATAAAAACTATCCGCACAGATAATGCTCTTGAGTATACCGATTCATCCTTCATTCGTTTCCTATCTGATCAGGGTACTGTTGTCCAATGCTCCTGCCCATACACCTCTCCACAAAATGGTTGCGCCGAACGTGAACACCGACATATCCTCGATACAGTCCGCACCCTTCTCTTATCTGCCTCTTGTCCAGATTGTTTTTAGGGGGAAGCTGCACTCACTGCTGTCCACACTATAAATCGTGTCCCTTCCTCTGTCATGGGTAATGTCAGTCCATTTGAAAGACTATTTCATCGTGCCCCTGATTATAGTCTTCTCCGCCCTTTCGGTTGTGTCAGTTTTGTCCTCCTCCCTCCTCATAAGCGCACTAAGTTAAAACCTCGCACGCGTTTGTGTTGCTTCCTGGGATACGGGTTAGAGCATAAAGGTTATCGTTGTTGGGATCCCATTTCCAATAGGCTACGTATTTTCTCATGTTCACATTTTGGGAGAATACTAAATTCTCTACCTTGTCCCACTTTCGAGTCCCCTTTGATCGTTTGTCTCCGTTCTTTTCCTTGTCCTCTCCACCTATATTCCCTTCCGATGACATGGCCCCGTCCCCCGCTCCTGACACTGTACCGGTTGCGCCTCCTGAACCGACGCTGATCCCCAAGCCTACTCCTACTCTCGACTCCGATCCATCACCATCACCAGAGCCTGACACTACTTCAATCTCAGACCCTGATCCTGGCCCTCTCCGTTCCACTCGGGTTAGTCACCTCCCTAATCACTTACTTGATTATCACTGCTTCTCTGCCACCTTGTCCCACCATGAGCCCCGGTCCTTTTATGAGGCGTATGCGGATCCGTTGTGGCGGTAGGCTATGTCTGAGGAGATGCAGGCTTTGGAGAAAACCCACACGTGGGATATGGTTGATCTTCCCTCTGGCAAGAAACCTATTGCCTGCAAGTGGGTATTCAGAATCAAAACTCACTCTGATGGATCCATCGAGCGCTACAAGGCGCGTTTGGTAGCCAAAGGCTACACCCAGCATTATGGTATAGACTATGAGGAGACATTTGCCCCGGTCGCTCGTCTCACCTCTGTCCGTTGTCTTATCGCTATCGCTGTCGCTCGTCGGTGGCCCCTGCACCAGCTCGATGTCAAGAATGCGTTCTTGCATGGTGATTTATCCGATGACATCTATATGTCTCCTCCTCCTGGTTTTCCTACCTCTTCCAAGGTATGCAAACTTCGTCGTGCCCTACATGGTTTGAAACAAGCACCTCGAGCTTGGTTTTCAAAATTTAGCTCTGCTCTACTCCAGCTTGGCTTTACTTCCAGCGATCATGATTCGGCTCTCTTCCTTCGACGTGGGTCAGCTGGAATTACTTTTTTACTACTTTATGTGGATGACATGATCATTACGGGAGATGATGGATCAGGTATCTCTGAGCTACAGACTAATCTACACCGCCACTTTGAGATGAAAAGTCTAGGGCCTCTTCGGTACTTCCTAGGACGTGAGATCTCCGACACCTCCGACGGATATTATCTCTCTCAAGCCAAGTATGCCTCCGACCTCTTGTCTAGTGCCGGTCTCACTGACTCCAAGACTGCCCCTACGCCTCTTGATTCTGATTGTCGTCTTACTCCGATGGACGGCGTCCCCCTTGATGATTCTACTCTGTATCGTCAGCTGGTGGGAAGTCTGATCTACATGACTGTCACTCGACCGGATATTGCCTATGCCGTCCATATCGTCAGTCAGTTAATGTCTGCTCCTCGGACGACTCATCATTCTGCTGTTCTACGGATTCTCCGGTACATCAAAGGTACTCTTCTTTATGGGCTTCATTATTCAGCTCGTTCTTCCTTAGTTTTGACCGGGTATTCTGACGCTGATTGGGCGGGAGATCCCTCTGATCGCCGCTCGACCATCGGGTTTTGCTTCTTCCTTGGCGACTCGCTTATTTCGTGGCGCAGCAAGAAACAGACGGTTGTCTTCCGGTCCAGTGCAGAGTCCGAATATAGAGCTCTTGCCGACACCACTGCCGAGCTTCTATGGCTTCGCTGGCTACTGGCTGATCTCGGAGTGCCTCAGTCCTTTGCCACTATTATCCATTGCGACAGTCAGAGCGCCATGAAGATTTCGACGAATGATGTCTTCCACGAGCGTACGAAGCACATTGAGATCGACTGTCACCTTGTACGTCATCACGTTGCTCATGGAAACATCTCCTTGTCTCCCATTCCCTCTGCTGATCAGACTACCGACGGATTCACCAAGCCTCATCTTCCGGAGCCGTTTCAGTCATTCTTGAGCAAACTCAAGTTGGGTTCCACCGTTCTACCTTGAGTTTGAGGGGATGTTGATATATATTGTATATATTTAGATATATATATATCTCTGCCTAATATATCTCTTGTATAAATATAATATTGTACCTTAATTGTAAACAATGAAATATAGTTTATTCCATTAATCCTAACAGTTTAAAAAGATTTTTTTATATATATAATATAAAAATAATATGTATAATATATTAATATTTTTAAAAAAATATTTGAAAAAAAATAATAAAAAAGAACCAATATTAGTTTAGCACGTAATTTGTTAGAATTTTTTGCTATTTTTTCAAAATACGAGAGATGTAACATTTCTATGTCAAAATTACATCCCATATTACAAAGCCTATATCTATCAACTAAAATGACGATAGGGATAACATATGTTATGGGATGAACTAATAATGTATATATTTTTGTATTGAAAGAGTTCATGCGTGAAAAGAATTAGTTCTGATTGCTTGTTAAAATTATTTTACGAAAACTTAAAAAATTGCATTTTTTGAATCATCTTAAATCAAAACTATTTAATCTAATGAATATAATCAAATTCTAATCTAAATCAATTAAACCTAATATAAACAAATTAAAAAGTGATTTAACTAAAATATAAAACCAAATCTAAATCTAAATCTAAAATATATCAATATGCCCTCAATGTCAAATAGTATCGTAAAAACAAACGGATCGCACAAATACGCAAACAGAAACACGGACAAGAGAGATAGATATGCATACAAGACTTTAATGGAATCAGAGTCAAACATTGGCATATTGTAGATATGCAGACATCAGATAGATTAATGACATGATAGACAAATATGCAGACAAATCGCAGACAAGATCAGACAAAACTACAAGAAAAATTTATTTTTGTAACAAAAATTTTTTGTCTCTAAATCTACTTGTTCCGTTACTGATGACATTAGAGACGAAATTAGTAATGGAATTACGTTAGCTACGTGAACTTTAGGGACGAAATTCCATTACAAATATATTATTTTTTTGTAGTACAAATTTACAGACTATATATAATTTTTTAGACAGATTCGCAGCAAGACTTGTAACTATAGACATGATCTCAAAATCGCAAGAGTTCTAACTACATTTTAGATTGAATATACTTGGAGAAACATAGATTAGTAGGTGTTAGAATTTTGGATGGGGGAAAATAATGAAATAAATAAAATGGTCTATCTATAGGCAATACAAACTCGATAGACTCGAATGTAAGTAATATAATCTATTAACAATATCAAATCTAAATATAAATCTACGAAATTTGAATATCTAAAATATCTCAATAACAGTGTATCATTTATCCAAGAAAAAGAATACTAAATTTTGATACCATTGTTGAATCATTTTGATGTGGAGCCCACTCAACTTCACCACCGATTCGACATGGCCTTTTAGAGTGTGTAGCTCCTGTAACCTCGCAATTTCAACTCTCCGGCGGCTTCCTTAAGGATCTAATTTAGTTCAGTTGCATTGTTAGTTTATTCGGTCCGGGATACTTTTTAAGTTGTGAAGTGATCTTTGATTGCAAGCCCATTCGAGCTCACGTTCAAACTTAAGTAATCTAATTTATGAATAATATTAAATAATTAATGGAAAATTAAATATCTAAAATATCTCGACAATAGAAATTTATGCAAGAATGAGAATAATAAAATTTGATACCATGTTAAAACTATTTCACCAAAATCCTAAAAAGTAACACATACTTGTTGGTGAGAATGAGGAAGAAAATGATCTTTGGAATGACTTTCTTGAATGATCTTTTGTATTTTAAAATAATTTTTCACGATGAATAATTGAAAAAGTAAAAGAGAATGATCTTCTATCAATGATTTTTCCTATACAATCTTATGAAATATGTAATGACTTTTCTTGATGAATAATTGAGAAATAAGAAAAAGAGAATGATCTTCTGCATAGTCGAAATAACTTTTCTTGAAGGATCGATTATTTTGGAATGACTTTTCCTAATGACTAACTTTTTCTTTTTCTTTTCTTTTTACGTAAACCTTATATATATATATATATACAATTTTCTTGGACCATAAAAATAGCCCTCTTCCTTGTGTACAAATACAAATTATAAATCAAAGAAACATTATAAATTATAAATATAATAACATTGATTAATAAAAGTTACACAAATTAAATTGATAATTACATTGATCCACGTACTATTCAAACCAATAAAAAGAATGAAAAATAAATTATACATCGATCAAATATATATACATATACACACATGTAATTATGTCAAAAAAAAAAAAAAAAATTCCATATAATCGATTAACTATGTACATAATATCAAATATTTATTTGTTTATCCGTTGGCGTCATTCATTCGAATTTACAACGGAAAGAATTTAACCGTTGCTAACAAACTGAGAAAGAACCCAACTACAAAACCGACCTCAAACCCAATCCAACTGACGATCCTGTTCCCGCCCTTCGATTTCAATTTCGATTTCGGTTCGGATTTTCCGTCGGGTTCGTCGCTCGCGCCGCAGGCGCGCAGCACGGCTCGACCACACAGCTCGGGATTTCCATCAAAGCTCGAGTTCGGAAATGTATCGAATTGCCCTCCAAACGGTATCATCCCTTCGAGGTTATTATTAGCGACATTAAAACTAGACAGGAAATGAAGATTCCGGAGAGATCCTGGAATCTCGCCGGAGAGACGGTTACCCGAAAGGTCCAATTTTTCGAGATTTGTCAGATCAGAAATCGAGCTCGGAATGCTGCCGGAAAAATTATTGTTTCCGAGATTCAAGTTTATCAGAAGCTTCAGCCGGCCGATCTCGACAGGGATGGTTCCGGTGATCGTATTATTACCTAAATATAAGCTCGGCGGGAGATTACTTAGTCGATTGTATTGAAGATCGATCATGTTACTCTTGACGAACACCGGCAGCTCTAAGTAGTTTTTATCGGCATGATCTCGAATTTCCGAGGACGTTAGTCTCGGCATTTCGGTAAGTTGTACCGGAAAGTTTCCCGAAAAATTATTACTCGACCAAACGAGGTAAAAAAGGTTCGGAAGATTTCCAACCCACCCGGGAATCGATCCCGACATGTAGTTATACGAAAAGTCGAGAACCGCGAGATTAGGTAAATCCGATAGCCACAACGGAAACGGACCGGAAAGTCCGCACCCGCCGAAGCCTAACACTCGGAGATTCCGGAATCCTTGTGAGACGATCAAGTTTTCATCGCTCGACAATTTTTCGCCATAGAAGTTCTTCGACAGGAGTAAGATGGTAAGATTTTTACATCCGGAGAGGATTTTAATAGCACGATTTACATCGACGAGGCTATTGTTGGAGATCGAGAGAAACGACAATGACTTCAACGAGACTATCCCCGGAGGGATCATTCCGCTTAGGTTATGTGTCGACAAACGAATCGCGGATAGTTTCTTACACGAGAAGAGGCTTTCGGGGAAGCTTCCGGTGAAGAAATTATTCCCGAGATCGATCGATTTAAGGTGAACGAGCTTCAAGAAATCAAATTTCGCGAGCTCGCCTTCAAGGTTGTTAACTCGAAGATTCAATATTTCGAGTTTGGTGCAATTGGCGAGCGACAGCGGGATATCGCCGGTTAATCGGTTTCCATGAAGAAACAACGCTTCCAAGTTCACGAGCCTCCCGATAACCCGAGGTATCGCACCGGTTAGGACATTACCGTACAAGACGAGGCCTTTGAGGCTTATGAGGTTCGAAATCCTACCGTCGATCTGTCCCGATAGCTCGTTTTCGGGAACGTAAAGTTCTTGCAACTCCCGTAACCCATAAATGTCCGGTGGCAGTCCTCCGGACAGACGATTTGAGCCTGCTCGTAGACTCCATAATCTCGAGCAGAGACCGAAATCTCTAGAAATCGAGCTGTCGAAATCATTGTCGGAGAAATCGACCAGACGCATAAGCGACGAGAATCTACAGAGCGACGACGGGATAGACCCGGAGAATCTATTGTTGCTCGCGTCGAATGCTATCAAGCTCGATGCTTGATCGAAAAACGACGATCTGATCGTCCCGCGAAAGATATTGCTCGATAAATTCAGTTCCCTGATCGCAATGGGCAACTTATCGGATTCTCCGAATTCTCCCGATAAATGATTACGGCTCAAATCAAGAACTTGCAGACGATTAAACGACGAGAAGAATACCTCGAGAAGAGGGCCCAAGAGCCGGTTGTTGTAAAGGCCGAGTCTTTTAAGGCTGCTGAGGTTTTGCATTGAAATTGATAAGCTCCCGACGAGGCCTCTCGACGGGAGCCAAAGATCGGTGACCCTCCCCGATCGATCGCAACCGATTCCTTCCCATGTGCAGCAATCCGTCGAAAACGACCAATTTAACGGCGGCGCGGCTGAGATGCTTTGGTTGAAAGACGCTAAGGAATCGCCGTCGAGCCGACTGCAAAATCCGTAGCAGCATGAACAGCAGGAGATGGCTAAAAGTCCTATTAGTAAATACATATTAGCAGTCGTATTTCGAAGAATTACAAGTAGACATTTGAAATCATTTTTAAGTGATTCAACGCGGTTCCAAGACCATCTCCAGCTCAGGAGATTTTTTTCTATTTTTGGTGGAAAAAAAAAATTACTCCAATATGCAGTTTTGTAGAATTCACTGGCCAGAATAAGCGGGTGTATTTTTCTATTTTTTCTAATACAAATTTATTTATTTATATAGTTATCTATTTTTTTTTTAATATTATCTCTTTATTTATGTAATTATTTATATTTATTTAATTTTTAATTTTTTAAATATTAACAATAAAATTGTTACGTACAAATTTTATAATTAAATTAAAAAGCCCAAGATAGAGGGAGATTTGGGCCTGTAATCGAGTAAGTTTGACAGGTCTGAAAGTCCGTGGTCGGATAAGCAAGTCGGGAGGTCTGCGGTCGGATAAGCGAGTTGGAAAGGGTCGCGATCGGATAAGCAGGTCGAGAAGTTCGCGGTCGGATAGGCAAGTCGGGAAGTCCGCAGTCGGATAGGCAGGTCGGGAAATCCGCGGTCGGGATAGGCAAGTCGGGAAGTCCGCGTCGGGATAGGCAGGTCGGGAAGTCGGCGGTCGGATAGGCAGGTCGGGAAGTCCGTGATCGGATAGGCAGGTCGGGAAGTCCGCGATCGGATAGGCAGGTCGGGAAGTCCGCGATCGGATAGGCAGGTCGGTTGGTCTGTGGTCGGATAGATAGGTTGGTTAGTCCGCGGTCGGATGGACAAGTCGGTTGGTCTGCGGTCGGATAGATAGGTCGGTTGGTCCGCAGGCAGATAGACAGGTCGGGAGGTCCGCGGGCGGATAGACAGGTCGGGAGGTCCGCGGTCGGGGATAAGCGGATCAGAAGGGTTCGCGGTCGGACTGACAGTTCGATTGCTACGAAGATCAAGTGGGAGAAACAGTAGTTTGGTCGGGTGGTGATACGCGGCTGGCAAGACGGTTGAAAACGCGTGTCGTCAGAAGAAGAATCAGAAGGCGGTTGAGAGTAGGTGTTGTAACCATTTGGGCGACGGTTCCAGGAAGTGTCTTTTAGGGAATAGGATTTGGGGAAAGTTGGCCAAGTATCTTCAATCAACTTCAACAAAAGCAAATCAGATTCGGGGATCACTTTTTAAATTTTAGTCTGTAGCATTTAATTTCCAGTTTACATATGTACCGTACAGTGTTTAAAAATTTCTAATCTCAGACATTAATTATATCAAATTCAAAGATAATTAATTATTTTCGGATTTTACTTTTTATTGTTGGAAAAATACATCAACAAAAATAAAATTCTGTTTACATTTTTATATTTTATTCTTTTTTTTATTTTGTTTTAAACTTATATTTTATATATTTATTTTATTTTATTTTTGTTACTTTTAATTTTATTATTTTTTATTATAATTTTGTAATTAACATTTATAGGTATAATATTTAAAATATTAATTAAAAATATTATTATAACTCTAATGTATAAAAATAATAAAATATTAAATTTTATTTGTAATTTTAAAAATTATATAAAATAAAATATAAGGAGAATATTTTTTAACCCTGCAAAAATAGAGGGTATGGTTGAAGATGAGTTATGTAAGAGACCTGCAAAAATGAAAAAATACACTGCAGACCTGCAAAAATGGAGCTACGGGTTGGAGATACTCTTTAGGTTATTAAATCCACACTTCTGAAGCTTTTTAAATCTATTCATCAATGCCAACTTTTTTTTTTCATAAAAATCACGATTAAATATCATTTCTTTTTATTATTTTAAATTTTTTTCAAAACTCCAATCTAAACGAAGCTGTAACGATAATTGGAAAGTACCTTAAAGACTTCCAAGAAGAAGCCATTGAGAAGCTTTCATTGTTCTTCATAGTAACTTCATCTCTTCCATTTGATGCCAATTTCCTGCAAAACCAATGCAGAAGATATTGTTAGCCCTCATCCTTTCTTACTTCATGATGCGTACTTGCAATGGCTCTTGCAATCCCGTCGATCGGGACTTGTTGTTACTATTCAAGCTCGACGTCTTCGAATCACCTCGATTGAGTTGGTCGACCGTCGAAGATTGCTGCAGATGGGAAGGCGTAAGCTGTGATGACACCGGAAAAGTCACCGATCTCCGGCTGCCATCGCGACACCTCGCCGGAAGTATCTCTCCCGCTATTATGAACCTCACCCGTCTCTCCAAACTCGATCTTTCTCACAATAGGCTCTCCGGCCATCTCCCAAATCGAATCTTTGCAGCATTTGATCTTCTACAAGTCGTCGATTTGAGCCACAATAGTTTATCCGGAAATTTGACCGACTCAGATAAGTTGCCGAGTTCCATCAGGGCATTCAACTTATCCAGCAACCAATTTCAAGGGACCATCCCTTTTTCATTCTTTCGACCCGATGCGATTCTCGAGACTTTCGACGTTAGCAATAATAGCTTCTCCGGGTCCATTCCGTCGTCCATCTGCGGTTCATCGTCGTCAGTAACGCGCCTCGACTTTTCTAACAATCATTTTTCCGGTCCGATTCCACGAGGCTTCGGACATTGCTTGAATCTCGAGACTTTTCGAGCTGGCTTTAATAACCTGTCGGGCGAGATCCCGAAAGACATTTACGGGTTACTGAAGCTGCAAGAACTTTACATACCCAGAAACAGGCTATCGGGAGGGATAGGGAATGGTATCGTCAACCTCGTCAAGCTCAAAATCCTCGCATTGTACGGCAATGTCCTCACCGGGACAATACCTCGAGACATCGGGCAGCTCTCCAACTTGGAACAGCTGTTGCTTCATATAAACATATTAAACGGCACCATTCCGTCGTCACTCGCAAACTGCACGAAACTTATATCATTGAATTTACGGATTAACCTGCTGGAAGGCGAACTTTCTGCATTCGACTTCTCGAATCTCCTTCAACTCAAAAAGCTCGAACTCAGGAGTAATTACTTCAGCGGAGCTTTTCCCGAAAGCCTCATATCGTGCAAGAATCTTACCGCGATTAGTTTGGGCACCAACAACCTAACCGGAGAGATCCCTCCCGACATAGCCGCAATGCGATCGTTGTCTTTCCTCTCCCTCGGCAACAACAGCCTGTCCAATATCAAGAGCGCAATTACAATACTCGCAGGTTGTAAGAACCTGACTATCTTAGTACTATCAAAAAGTTTCTACGACGAAGAATTGCCTATCAGTGAAAACTCGATCGCCTCTCAGGGGTTCTCGAATCTCAGAATATTAGCCATGGGTGGCTGCAGATTTACTGGTAAAATTCCTCTATGGTTATCGAAATTAGCTAATCTAGCAGTGCTTGACCTATCATTCAATAACCTTTCGGGTTCGATCCCGGGATGGATAAGAACTCTACCAAACCTTTTCTACTTCGACATATCGAGAAACCAAATATCAGGAGATTTCCCGTTAGAGCTCACTGAACTACCGAGTTTATCATCGAAGCAGAGCAATTATCAAGCTGTAAAGAGCTGCTTACAGTTGCCTCTGTTCTCGATGTCTGAAACTTCAGCCGTCCTGCAATACGAACTCCTCGGAAGTATTCCTCCGTCTTTGTATATGAGTAATAACAGGATCGGAGGAACCATTCCAGACGAGATTGGTAAGCTGAAGTTTCTTGTTGCCCTGGATCTCAGTAACAACGATTTCTCCGGCAGTATTCCTGCCACATTATCCGAACTCGTCAATTTGGAAACTTTGTACCTGTCAAGGAACCATTTATCGGGTGAAATTCCAGCATCGATAAAAAACCTGCATTTCCTGTCTTATTTCAGCGTTGCGTACAACGATCTACAAGGGAAAATACCGTCGGGTGGCCAATTTGACACATTCCCTGCCTCGAGCTTTGAGGGAAACCCCCAACTGTGTGGTAGAATATGCCCTCTTCGCAACAGAACAACGAGTGTACCTATACAAGAGCTCGAAGGTGAAAATGGAGTCATTAATTGGGTAGGTTTCGAGGTTGGTTTTATATTCAGCTTCATTCTCACTGTGGTAGCAGCAATGAAATTTTTCTTGTATTGAATGAAGATAAAGTCTGCGATTTAGAAAAACATCAATATAGAAGTAATCTGATGCAGTAGAACACAAGTACACAACAACTACATGATTACATTGTTGAAGTTCGAAACAAAAATTTGTGGCTCACTAGAAAAAACAAAGACATTGGTGGATCGGTTTCGAGATTTGCTTAGCAGTTAGGTTTGTTATCACTGAGCTAGCAACTCTGAAATTCTTCAGGTGCGAATGGTTAGCTCGTTAGCTATGATCATCCATCGATCATTTCCATAGTTCTAATGTTGAAGGACAGTAGTGTTTGCGAGCTATTTAAGCGTCTGTGTAATGGATGATATTCTCTGTCTGATATTTAAGCTGAACTAATCTTCGGAATTAACATCTTAGGTTAAAGATTCTTGGAGAAATTTGACTTTATGCACAATTGATTCTCTCAAACACTCGATAATCCAAAACTGCAAAGATTCTAACAAACGCAAAGTCGCAACAGCTCATGTGAAATCATGAAAATTTCAATGGTATTAAGAATCAGAATTGATTCAGTCATCAACCAATCTTTCCCAAGTTAACGAATTACCACGTGTTAGAAGCAGAAGCAGAAGCAGAAGCAGAATCAGAATCTCAGCTCCATCTCTCTGACAATTGGTTCTCTGCAGATTACTGGTGGATTTTCACACCCATCCGCAGACTGTCGATTTCAGCCTTAACAATCTCCCGAAGCTCCATCACCTGATTCACCTCAGCTCCACGAGTAACGAGTTGAAGAACCCGCGCCGTTTCGTGAGTTCGAAAATGGGCTGACCCAATACATACTCTTCACCTTTCAATTTAGCCCAATTATTTAACAAGTACCAAAAAAAATAAAAATAAATAAATAAAAGAAAAAATAAAATAAAAAATCGAAGAATGGAAGTCTAGCAATTACGCACCCAGTTGACAAATGTATATAGGGGAAGGAGAAAGGCACAGAAACTGATCCAACGCAACGAAGAAGGGGAATCAGATGTTAAATTTGGCAGTGTTCTTGAGCATAGTGTGGGCTCTGACTTTACTCTATGGAGAGTGGTTCGCGTATATGGTGCCCTCCCTTTGGACCTGCTCATGGCCGCAGCTTCCATCGTCTTCCATGGTAAAACCCCCATTTATTTTATCAGAAATTTTCCTTGAAAGATTTGAATCAGTTTATCCATTTTTCTCTATCTATTGCGTTTTTTGTGTGGGTAAAATTAGAATCCTTTGCTTGCTGTAGTGATTTGTGATTCGTTTTCCAGTAATTTGCTCTTTCTGCTCATAGGTTAGGAAGAATGTGGGAAATTATTCAATTGAAGGTTTGGGGAATAGAGAATGAGGAGTTGGGGATTGCTTGATTGTGTTCGTGTACTGTATTTTTGTTGAAAGATGGATTTATACATTAGCCAGGGAAGAGGTGAAATGTTGAAGGATAATGTATTAGAATGTGCCTTTGTTTGTTGATGAACAGTTTCGATTTCTGAATCTATTGAACTCTCTCTTGATTGTAAGTTCTTATAGCCAGGATGGGATTATGAGGTTGAAAAACGGGATATTAGAATTTTAGAATGTACCTTGGTCTGCGGATGAGCATTCGATTTCTGAATCCATTGATCTCATCTCCATTGTAAGTTCTTACAGCCATGTTTCGTCTCGGCAGGATGGAGTTAATAATTCGAGCAACTATGTGAAAATCGCCGTCGTTGCAGACCCTCAGGTAATGTTTAATCGGTTTGATTGCCTTCTTGTTCTTCTTTTGTATGTCGATCTGACGAATTCTTTCGATTCTGGTGTTGTGTTAGCAGCTCATGGATAGAACTTCACATTCTCTTGCTCCAAAATCGTTTGCGCTGGAGATTGCTCAGTTCTATTCTGATTTGTACATGCGCAGGGCTTTTCTCACGTCGGTTTTATCCTTCAAACCAGACGCCGTATTGTTTCTTGGTGACTATTTCGACGGGGGCTATGTATTGTCAGATGAAGAGTAAGTTTTAGATCATCTACTTAGACATTTTCGAACATTTTTCAAGAAACCCTTAGCTTTATTAACGTGGAGTATAGGTAAACAACAATCACAATTTTCATGTCTACATTTCGCTAACACTTTGTATTTTTCTAAGAAATCGCATAATTTTGGCTATAGAATTTGTTGCACGACAAATTATCATATGCTATGATCTATCCTTGTTCCTGTTCCATGGTAGGTATTAATTTGTTTATAATAGATGGCAGGAATCATTGGGCCGACTTAGGCACATCTTCAACCTGAATACGCTCGAGAAAACTTCAAACATAAAGACATACTTCCTGTCTGGAAACCATGACATCGGATACTCAGCTTTCTACTTACAACACCCAGAGGTACGTAAAAGCTGAACTGAAAATTCTTTGAATCAAATTTTCAATATGCAATTCAGCAATTTCGATAATGTGCGCACCCTATATTTTGCAAGATCTCTATTTTGTCTATATTTTATGATATGCAGCGTGTGGAACGCCATGAAGCTGTTTTTGGTGCGAGGAACTTTAAAGTCGCACTCGGAAAAGTAGACTTCATTGCAGTTGATGCACAAACTTTGGATGGTGATAGCTGATGTCTCGGCTTTTCTATCCCTGGTCTAATTCATTATACATTTGTATGTTTCATATCACAACACTGATTCTTGGGAGATTCTAGGACGTCAAAACTGGATGGATTGGCACCGTTCATTTGGCAATGTTTTCCTCATGAACGGTGTAGATCCACCTGGTATTGAGAGTCCAAAGAAGAGCTTCCAAAACTCGCTCGTATCATAAGATTTGCAGTATAAACCTACTGAATTTCTCCTTAGAAACAATTTTTTTTTTTTTTTTTTGAAAAGGTTCTTGATCATTTATCGATGCTAACTTCTTTGCATGTTTTATCTGCAGGCGGTTCGCAAGGTGACCTAACGTCGGCTACATGGGGATTTGTCAAAAATGTCTCTGAAGAAGGTACACGAAATTGAGCATGAAATTTAAAATATTGCTGATTTTTAAATTTTTTTTTGCTTGAGAAGATGATGCCTTCGACGTTCTTTTAATCTATCCAGATAACAAATCCAACCCGAGAGTTTTATTGACTCACATCCCTTTATATCGGCCTGATTGGACTCCATGTGGCCCTCATCGTTCTTCAGAAATCATCAATCAGGTACATCCCGCGAGAATCCTATATTTGCCATTTTTCGAAGATTTATTTCAGTATAATGTTTGTTCACGTTTGCATATTATCGTTGGTTCAGCGAGTCAATCGTGACAGCGACCAAGAAGTTCTGTAAGCTCCTTTCCTTATTCCCGGTATTTCTTACATTGCGTCTTCTACCTCAGTCGTAATGCTTTTTTCCATTCGATGCAGTTATCAGAACTACATCACCGAACACTCAACAAAAGCTCTCCTCGACCAAATCAAACCCGTAAGCGCTTTCATCACAAATACATTCCCACAAAATTCCATAAATCGTGTAAGAACTAATTTGTCGTTGTGCAGGTGCTAATCCTCTCCGGACACGATCACGATCAGTGCACCATCCCCCACACATCCAAGCACGGTCCCGTCGTCGAGGTAAACTCTATTTCCATTTTTCCCTGCAATAGGATGAACTTTTCGATTGATTTGAGAAATTACGCAGCACACCGTAGGAACCGTAAGCTGGCAGCAAGGAAATCTGTACCCATCCTTTATGCTACTCTCGGCGAGCAATTCCGCGCCATCAGATCGATCGAATCCATCCGAAGCTGTATCCACTCACCTCTGCTTTCTTCCCACACAATTATTTATGTACCTATGGTACTTCATCGAGCGTCTTTCTTTCCTTCAATACATCGCTCGATGACTTCATTCTGAAATGTTATTCGACTTTATGTATCAGGTATTTATCCCTCTTCGCAATGACTCTAATTATCATCCTCCTCTGGCCCGCAAACGAGGTTCTCATCACTCGGAAGCTCAGCGACGCAGCTGGCATGGTAAAAAATCTTTACAGCAGCATTCGTAGCACGATAAAAGAGAAAAATGACGACGAAGACTGCGAGTACGAAGAGATTTGGGATGCGGACGGGTCGATGCACCTGATCAAGAAAGCGAAGAACGTTTCAGCAGCGATCCTGAACGAGGGCGCCGCAATCGAGAGGTGTGTATAGGAGCGGTATTCGTTTGCGTAGTTAATTTTGCATCGTTTGCTCGATATAAACTCGGTTTGAATCGTGGTTCAGGGGAAATGTTGTGATGCGGCGAAAACAGGCGGAGACAGAGGCTTCGATGGCTCCAGATGTGAGTATACAGATGGGTTCGGTTCGGACGGGGCGGTCGAAGACGAAGATGATGATCTGGAGAATGTTGAAGGCCCTGAGAGCTCTGCTAACCATAGCTGCCTTCAATGTTCCTCTCTATGTGTTGCTGGTGTTCAAAGATTGGATTGATAAGTGATTTTTTGTGCCTTTGTTATGTTATTTTGTGTGTTGCTTTTGTATGGCTATATTGAATCCATGTTACTGTAAGAAGAGGTTTAATTGTTGAGGAATTTTGAGGAATTTGCTTGATAGGAGAGTATTAAAAATAATACGTCCCTCCATCCCAAAATTATACTCCTAGAGTTGGACACGGAATTTAAAGAATATTGATATTATATTAGTAGTTGGTAAAATGTATGCATAAAAGACTTTTTTTATCCTTGTAAGTATATTAATGTAAAAAATAGAGACAATTGTGTAATAAAAATAAAAAAATAGGGGTAATTCTATAGTAATATGGTTATTTATAGAAATAAGACTATTATTTTGGGACGGACAAAAATGGTAAAAAAGACTGTTGTATTGGGACGGAAGGAGTATTAATTTTTTTCTATCCGTCTAAAAAAAATAAATAATATTTATCTATATATACGGAAAAAATCAATTTTGGTCCCAATATAATCAAAATTAATCAATTTTGGTCCCAATATAAAAAATTCATCAATTTTGGTCTCAATATAACCAAAATTTATCAATTTTGGTCCAAATATAAAAAACTCATCAATTTTGGTCCCAATATAAACAATTTCAATCAATTTCGGTCCCATTATAAACAATTTTTATCAATTTTGGTCCTACCGTTAAAAAACTAACGGAAATTGCTGACGTGGACATGACGGAGGTGACGTGGCAGTTGACCAGAAAAGTACACGGCCATGTTGTTACATGGCCATGTATATTTCAGTGTATAATTATACATGGTCATGTTGTTACACGGCCATGTACAATTATACACGGCCATGTTGTTACATGACCATGTATATTTCAGTGTATAATTATACATGGTCATGTTGTTACACGGCCATGTTGTTACGTGACCATGTATATTTCAGTGTATAATTATACATGGCAATGTTGTTACACGGCCATGTACAATTATACACGGCCATGTTGTTACAGGGCCATGTATATTTCAGTGTATAATTTTACATGGCCATGTTGTTACACGGCCATGTACAATTATACACGGTCATGTTGTTACAGAGCCATGTATATTTCAGTGTATAATTTTACATGGTCATGTTGTTACACGGCCATGTACAATTATACACGGCCGTGTATCTTTCTGTTTCGGTCTAAAATTTTAATTTTTTGTTATATTTTTAAAATTTTTTTAATTTAAAATAGTTGATATAGTTAAAATGGAAAATAATAATAATAATAATCATAATATAATTAAAATATATCAGTTTTAGTTCAAATATAAGTATTTATTGAGTATGTTTTTTTGGAAGATTTTGTCTAAAATTATACTATTTAGCAAAAATTTCAATACATTAATTGGATGTTTGTAAGAGAAATTTTTTTGCTAAATAGTAGAATTTTAGACAAAATTTTCCAAAAGAACATACTCGATAAATACTTATATTTGACTAAAATTGATATATTTTAATTATATTATGATTATTATTATTTTTTTCCATTTTAACTATATAAACTATTCTAAATTTAAAAAAAAATTAAAAATATAACAAAAGGTTAAAATTTTAGACCGAACAGAAAGATACACGGCCGTGTAGAATTATGCATGGCCGTGTAACAACATGGTTGTTGAGATATTTTAGATATTCAGTTTTAAATTTAGTAGATTTATATCTAGATTTGATCTTATTCATAGATTAGATTACTTAGATTTGAGTCTATCGAGTCTGTTTTGTATTGCCTATATATAGACTCCTTATTTTGATGATCAAGAAGACAATCTCATTATTTCCCCCAAAATTTCTAACATGGTATCAGAACCTATTTTTCTCATGCCGTAGATATAGCCTACCAACCCGTGTTTTTTCGGGTACATTCAACATGGATTGTACCCGGAGGTCTTGTGATTTTAAGAAGGTTTTGTGATTTTGAGATCATGCCTTCGCAAGTTATCTTTTTGCAAATCTGTCTCGTCTCGTCTCCAATCTGCCATTTGTCCACTGCTTGTCTGTTGCCTGTATGCAATCTGAAATCTTCGTTGCTTGTCTGTTGCTTGCGAGCAATCTGAAACGATCTGTCATATATCCGTTGTATGTCTGTTGCTGTCGTTGCCTGTCTGTTGTTGCGTGCGATCTGCCATCTGTCGTTGCCTGTATGTTGCCAGCATGCGATCTGCCATCTTTCATTGCTTATTTGTTGCCAGAAATCTGTCTATGATCTGCCATCTGTCTGCTGTTTGTCTGGTGCCTGCGTGCGATCTGATCTGTCCGATGTTTGCGATTTGTCTGTTTTCGGCTCCGGTGGAGTCATGTCGTTTTCGGCTTCAGTGGAGTCCTGTCGTTTTAGGCTCCGGTGGAGTCATCTCGTTTTTCGGCTCCGGTGGAGTCATCTCGTTTTCGCCTCCGGTGGAGTTATGAGGTTTTTGGCTCCGGTGGAGTCATGTGATTTTCGACTCAAGTAGAGTCATCTCGTTTTCGGCTTCGGTGGAGTCATCTCGTTTTCGACGGCTTCGGTAGAGTCATGTCGTTTTCGGCTCCGGTGGAGTCATCTCGTTTTAGGCTCCGGTGGAGTCCTGTCGTTTTCGGCTCCGGTGGAGTCATGTCATTTTTGGCTCCGGTGGAGTCATCTCATTTTCGGCTTGTTTTCGGCTCCGGTGGAGAGTCATCTCGTGTTCGGCTTTGGTGGAGTCATGTTGTTTTCGGCTCCAGTGAAGTCATATTGTTTTCGGCTTCGGTGGAGTCATCTCGTTTTTTGCTCCGGTGGAGAGTCATCTCGTTTTCGACTCCGGTGGAGAGTCATCTCGTTTTTTGCTCCGGTGGGTGGAGAGTCGACTGCTAATTTTATTTATGTTTTCTTTTTGCGTTTATATTCAAATTTCTCATCAAACTCAAGTTGGTTTCTGTTATACCACTTGAGTTTGAGGGGGATGTTGAGATATTTTAGATATTCAGTTTTAGATTTAGTATATTTATATCTAGATTTGACCTTATTCATAGATTAGATTACTTAGATTTATATCTAGATTTGATCTTATTTCTCATCTCTTCTGTTTTGTATTGCCTATATATAGACTCCTTATTTTGATGATTAATAAGGCAATCTCATTATTTTCCCCCAAAATTTCTAACAATGGTCATGTATAATTATACACTGAAATATACATGGTCATGTAACAACATGGCCGTGTATAATTGTAATGGCTGTGTACTTTCCAGGTCAACTGCCACGTCACCTCCGTCATGTCCACGTCAGCAATTTCCGTTAGTTTTTTAACGGTGTGACCAAAATTGATAAAAGTTGTTTATAATGGGACCAAAATTGATTGAAATTGTTTATATTGTGACCAAAATTGATGAGTTTTTTATATTGGGACCAAAATTGATAAATTTTTGTTATATTGAGACCAAAATTGATGAATTTTTTTATATTTGGATCAAAATTGATTAATTTTTATTATATTGGGACCAAAATTGATTTTTTCCATATATATAAAAAAAGATTCTTAAATACGTACTTTAATTTTTATTTTATTTTTCGGCAAATGTGTCACAATTCAATTTATCTAACAAATTTTCGTTTTCACTTTATTAACTAATTATTTTTTTCATAATATTTTTTATTTTATATGTAATCAGTTAATATGATACAATATTTATTAAAATTTGTATTCAAACATATATAAATAGAAAATAAAGTTTTTTAAAATGTAAAATAAACAAATAGTAAGAATATGGTATTTTTATTATAGTCCGTCGAGTTCAATATAATAGATATCATGCCAAAATGTTTCTTTTGATTTTGTTTTGAATTTTTTTTTTTTTTAAGTCTTGTATTAAAATAATATAAGATGTGATATTTTTTTTTAAAAAAAAAAAAAACAACTTTTTTTTTTTGAAAAAATAGATAATTCAAATAGTATAAATTTTGAATTTTAATGTTAAAGAAACACAAAATAGCTAATAAATGGATTGGATTAAGACTGAACTGCATACAATTCAAGAGGATAAAAAAATAAAAATAAAAAATTAAGCCTAAGTTTACAAAGTTTTCAAGAAAATAATCATTTCATAGGCAATGAAAGAAAGATTGCATGGATTAATATAATATGGATTTATTTGGCCAATACTTTCATCATTATGAAAAGATTAAAATTAAATGACCATACGTCCATCAATTAAGGAGAATGTAGTGACAAGTAAATGGAGTGTTGGAATAAAAATAATGATGACTTGGGCAATAAAATAAAATAGATAGGATTCAACCATACAACTCATTTATCTTTTTTTTTTTTTTTTTTTTTTTTTGTTCTTTATATTAATATGCAGAATGATACTCCCCCCGTCCTAAACAAGGTACAACATTTGTTTTAAATACGAATTTTTAGGTGGATAGTATTAAATAAGATAATTTAGAAATTAGGTGATATGATGGAGAGAAAAATATATATTTTATTTTTTTTATTTGAGTGATATGATGAAATAAAATATAAGATATAAATTAAATATAATTAATTATTTTTTATTTTAAAAATATTACATGATATTTGAGACATACTAAAAAAGAAATATTGTACGGTGTTTACTACGGTTTTCCCTAAAATTATCACATATCATTGAAGATTTGCATTGAGGTGCTCAAGGATCCACTCATTCTTCCAACCAAAAAAATTAGGCCGAAAATTTTGAATTTTCAAAATGCAATAATATTTTGTATTACTTTTATATTACAATTGAAATATTTTTATTTTTATTTTTTTTTATCTTTTTTTACAATAAATAAATCAATAAAATATTAAAAAATTACGTACAAAGAAAAAATAATATTTTTCTTTATGAGATATAAATAGTATTTTATTAATTAAGTACTATGTAAGATGATTGATGTTTTTATTCTTATAAATATAAAGACAAAATTAGAAGTATTTTGTTATATGTATATGAATTATATGTTTATAATATATATAAAAATAATAATGAAATGAAAGAATTTTTAAAGCTAGAAGTAGTTTCCTATTTGTTCTTATAAATATTTTTAAACGAAATTAATTATATTTGGAATGAAAGAATCATATTATAGAATAAAATGACAGATTTAGGGTGTGTTTGTACAAGCTTTTGAATTTTGAGTT